TGCTCCGTACCTTTAAAAATGTATTACACAATTTTTTTAGACACCATTAAATATAATATATATAAATAAAAACATAAATATATTAGAAAAAATAATTTTTTTACCAATGATAGGATGCTCGGAGATGTCAACCCAAGCCGACGCCAATATGCACTCCTCCTCCGGCGTCCACTTTTGGATTGACCGTGCCGCCTCGGTCAACGTGCTTTTGGCTTTGTGGCTCCTCCGGCGTGTACTTTTTTTCGATCCGGACCCGGTTTCGGTTGAGTCTCCGGAACCGAATCTCGGTTGACGTACCCCGATTGTTGCGTCTCGTAGATTGGTGGTCGATCGCCCCACTATTGGTACAACCACATCGCGGCGTCACTCGGCGGGAGATCGTCGGGAAAGAAGCCGGAGCCGGAAGGATTCATGTTGAATAGAGAGGGGGTAATTTCGAATTTTAAAAATTGGGAAAAAGAAGAGATTGAAGATGGAGAATGTGTGAGAGATTGGGAGGGGGGATTTGAATTTATAAGATTTTTTTTTTGAATTGGGGGGTGCAACGGCTATTATAGCCGTTAAGGGGGGAGGGGAATGGAATGACGCAGCGTCATTCCTTTGATGCACGCCCGATCATGCCCAAATAACGCCGGAGGGGGGCGGTGTTTCACGCCCCTGGGGCGTTAAACGCCCGTTCACGCCGGCGGGCGTGAAGCCCATTTCCATTGCTCTTAGAGTCACCAAAAGAAATACTCACAAAATGCACAAACTTACCAAATACGGAGTAGGTGAAATAATGATCTTAAATAGTTTTAAAAAATAAAAACGTACCTACATAAATGATAAATTTCTACATTTTGTAAGTATTTTATTTGTGGTTCTACAGAAATAATTCATTTAACAAAATAATACTTCTTCTGTCCTAAAACGTTCTTCCTGTTTCTGAATATGAGATTTGATTGACTTTATTTTCGATTTAATTTATTTGCTTTTAGGTGTAAAATTAAAAAATAAAACGTAAATATTTAAAAAAGACGTTAAAAGTTCTACAAAATAAGAGGTAACAAGATTATATTATTTTATCTAATAACTAACGAAAATAGGTAAAGAAAGTAATCAAAGCTTGACCGTGTGAATAGTAACTAGAAAGAACGCTTTAGGACGGAGGGAGTAACAATAATATTAGTAAATTATTAAAAGAGAAAGCACAATACAAGATACTTAGGCTATGTTTAGATACAACAACAACAACAACAACAACTATACCAAAAACAACAACAACAACAAAGCATTATCACTACAAGAACTCCATTGATTCGCAAACGTTGAAGACCTTGATGAACGACATATTAGACGGAGGTGTTATTCCATCATGGATCTACGTCACAACTTAAAACAAAGGACGCGTTTTGGCTTTCGTAGCAAATTTGCGACAAAAACGAGCAACGGGTGCTACGACGGAACGTGCAACAGAATCTGCGACGAAATACAAACACGGCGGAACTCCGTCAGAGCTAGCTTGCAACCTAAATGGATTTCCATCACAGATTTGACATATTTTGTAACACCCTATTCGGTTCAGGTCTGCAGCCCCTTTCAGACTAAAGTATAAACTTTGTATTTGTAAAGATTCAAAATATTGCAAACATTTTCAAACTTTATTTCATAATAAATTATTCAGAATAATAACGGAGCATTTAAAGTTGAGGAAACTTAATAAATCACAATTACAAAACATAATAAATTTATGTCTTTTAGAAACAATAATTCAAATTCATACATCCATCCCGGCCATCTCACCACATCTCCCACCAAGAATAGTCACTTCATTCTTTTCTGTTTTCCCGCGTGTAGCAAATAAAACATACTACACGCTTAGCAGTGAAGCTGAATAAGGATATCTAATGCAACGAACATCCATATAAATTGAATCTCAATCTATAATCTAATCATTTGATATCATCCACATAATATTGAGTTCAAGGATTCAACATTCAATATTTATATTTACCAACTCTTAAACTAATTCTAGTTTAAGGTACTTTTAACCAAATTTTTATATTCTAGTTTAAGGTAGCACTAACCAACTCTTAATCTAATCTAGTCTAAGATGCAGGTTTTCAAAAAAGATTTTGGACTCTTAAACTAATCTTAGTTTAAGGTACACAAGAAACCGAACAACGAAATGCTCACCTTTGGGTTGGGTGGTATCTCCAAATGAGTGATCCTCTAGTTTGGTTTGCGGATCTCGTACGTATGTTTTTACCCAGACCATTGAATATTCATATTTATAACCGCAAGGCCTATTCCAATTTGATGTTTATCTTTGAGGTCTTCTAGATAACTTTAACAATACACGCCATTTCTCACCAATCTATTTATTTTGAATTTTAATTCAATAATTCATAATTATCATTTTAATCAGAATATTCATCAAGATTTGATCATAATCAACATTCAATAATAATTATCATAATATTCATTAACAAATAACGTGATAGTGTCGAGTGTTTACACCCTAGCTTACCTTCATGCATCAAACAAGGTTCTTGAATTTGTCAAAACATCATATTTATTTTGAGATTCATTTTTATATTGATCATAATCAGTGTGAACTTCTTAGTGGATCGAGGCGGATTTTATAATAAAAATGAATTTTGGTTCTATTTTGGGGGATAAAAACATGTAAGTCTTATTTTGAATCTTTTCCTATGTATTTTTACTTTAATTTTTTTACCTTCAAATAATGTGCCAAGTTCGTATAGAAAAATAAAGTAAAATTTACATATACAAAAATTATATCAAAAGTTCTATAAAATAAGATTAAATGACCACTAAAAATACACGAATAAACAAAATTTATTAGAAGACTCAAACTACTTTTGTCTTTATAATTGTCATCGATGAGAGTCACGTGTGATGATTTTCTACATTTTTGTAAATCAGTTTTGAGGGGAAGGTAAAAAGATTAAATTAGCCTATGGGTACACCAACACGGGGTATCCCATATGTACACCAAGTCATTACAGACATACAGACATAAAATGTCTGTGCTGCACAGACATTTTGTATCTGTGTGTGTCTGTGTTGGCTTGGTGTACAAATGAGATACCCCATGTTGGTGTATCCCTAGCATTGCCCAAAAAGATTTACTAACACTGTGTTTGTTTGGAGTTAGGGGAGGTAGAGGGAGGTAGATTTAGGGGGATGTATTCAATATGGATTCTGATAGATTTTTTTGCATTATGAAAATCCATAGGTATTCAATTCAAAATTTTAAAAGTCATTTAAAATCTGGGTGTATTCAATTCAAACTTTAAAAAATTGATGGATTTTTAAAAATTTTAAAAATTGTGGATTTTGATGGATTTTCATGCCTTGGGTATAAATACAAATTTCCAAATCCAATCAAAAGCCCTGGGATTTTGCCTACTCCTATTCTCGTTATTCATCTTCTCTCGTCCCTACCCTGTTCTTCTGCCAAGTCGCTGGAGCTCGGAACCCCGACGGAAGGCCTTCCTCGGCTCTGCACGCTGCTCTACTACCGGGGTGCTGTTGGCCGCTGCAATCCTATCACCGAGGAGGTCGCCATCGTCGCCGAGGAGGTCATCTTGTTCTCCGTAAGAAAGCCGGGAGGAAGACATAGGAGAAAAAAGAAATGAAAAGAAAAAGAAAAAAGGAAAGAAAACATAGAAAAAACGAAATGGGATGGAAGAAGCGGCGCGGCTAGGGTTCATGGGGGAAGGAGGAGAAAAAAGAAAAGAAAAAGAAAAAGAAAAAAGAAAAGAAGAAATAAAAAAGAAAAAAGAAAAGAAAAATGTAAATCTTATAAAATCTTTTGATAGAATACATTAGAATCTATTTAGCTCTGCGTAAACTTTAAACAATCCAATGAACTTATAGAATCTATGGATTCTAAAAAATCTAACAAAATCATTTAAAATCTAAATTGAATACACCCCTTAATATTTTACTTTGTTTGGTAACAAAAATCTAAATTGAATATACCCCATGGCCATTGTTCAATTTGCATTTTTTTTCCGATCTGCTTTGCTCTTCAATTCCATTCCGATCGCCATAACCCCTTTGCTACAATTTTCAATTTTTTTTTGCACTTCAATTTTCATTGCAATTTTTCCCTTCCTTGCAATTTTCACTGCATAATCTTCATGTTCCCCATTGCTGCAATTTTCACTGCATAATCTTCCCCATCGCTGTAATTTTCACTTTTGTACTTCAAGTTTCACTTTTTTTTCAATTTCTAGATTTGAACCATGCTACACTTACACCATAAAATATACCCCATTTATACACCACAGGTTTGCACAAACATTTCGATGGTTTACACCGACACAAGTGTTGGTGCGTTAATAAAAATTCACACAGACACAAATGTTGGTGCATTTAACAAAAATTACTTTTACACTAACAAAAAGTGTTGGTGCAAAACTGCGGGGTACAAATTGGGGTACAACACTTGGGGTACACATAGCATAATCCTCCAGATTTTTTTCTCTCTTTTTCGTTCTACTCTGCTTTTGCACTTCGATTTTTGTTCTGCTATGTTTTTTCGTTCTGCTTTGCTTTTGCACTTCAGTTTTTTTACAGTTTTCACTTTTGCACTTCAATTTTCAGTTTACCTTTCACTCTTTCTTGCTTACCTTTTCCTGTTTTCGTTTCATCTTTTTTTTTCTGTTTTTTTGTGGTTTTTTCTGTTTTTTTGTGTGTTTTTTTCTAGTTTTTTTGTGTTTTTTCTACAATTGTGCATTTTTGTAGTTTTGTTATTGTACTTCGTTTTCTGCAGTTTTGTTATTTCTAAATATCCTAAACAAATAAAGAAAAACAAGATCAAGGATATTTTAGTAACTGTATTCTTTCACTACCTCACGTTACCTAATAAACATCCAAACACAATTTTTTAACTCATTACCTTACATTACTTGCCTTCAATTAACTACCTTCAATTACCTACCTAATAAAATTTTTACCTACAGTTAAGTTGACCTTTTCAGCTAGAAAAAGAATAATTTCTGATTTTCTGGGAAGAATCTAATGCTGTTTTTTTTTACCCCAGTACCATATCACAATCAACCAAAGAATGCAGCAGCAGCAGGAGTAGATCAATTCTAATTCCATGGCAGAAGCAGTTCTTAGTATCGTGGCAGAGGGAGTTCTGGGCAAGCTGTTTTCCCTAGCGGCAGAAGAGCTATGCTCCCTTTGGGGTTTCAAGAAGCTGGAGATGATCCAAGCTTTGATGATCGATGCGGAGAGCAAGCAAACCGGTTCCATGACCGTACAGTTCTGGATCAAGAAGCTCATGGCCGTCTCTTTCGAAGCCGACAACGTCTTAGAGGAATTCGCCTACGAAATCTCCAAGCAGAAACAAGGTTCCAATCCTATCCAAGCAGAAACAAGGTTCCTGATTGGCTCTGCACCCTCTCCTCCATTCAGTCAATGTGCTTTACGTTATGTGCGTCCCTTGCGTATCTACCGTCTGTCGAAGCAATGCGGCCTCTCAAGAATTTACAGAGGTTTGAAATCATTGTTTGCCCTCTTCTTGAAGAGAGGTGCTTTGAGGGGGGACGCCCTGAGTGGCACAAGATATCCCACATTGCTAAGGTCAGGGCAAATTACCAAACCATTCAATGCCTCCTTGACTAGACTCTCTTTTGTCATGGTAGCTACAGCTGTTCAAATGTTTGCCAACGGTCCAAAAAATTTTCAAAAAAGGCCAAGGTGGTACCATATGTGATTTTTAAAAAAAAAACAAGAATGCATGGGCACAAGAAAATGTACAACCCCTGGCTATTGGAAGGGCATCCTACAGTTGTACTCTTCTAGGGGCTGCCTACTGACATAAGCATGCCTTTCAGTTATTTTGTGCATGTTCCATGACAACCTGAACAAAGTCTCGAGTCACTGATAATATGTTCTGTGGTAGCTGCCCTTGTCTCTCTAACTTGTCCTTTCCTATGTGTGGTATCTTAAAACTTGGATTTCTCTGAAAGGCATGTATTTACTTTCAGATTGAAACTATTGGGCAGTTCACACGAATCCTTCAATTGGATATAACCCAGATAGAATTGAAGAACAAGGTATATAGATTGCTGCGATAATTTGAAATCCTCTGTTTTGACCAATCTTGCAAACGAATTCTTGTTGAAGCGGGAAGAACAGAATTGGCGTTTGGACCCCGCAAGGGCTGCGGCCGCCCATAACACTTGGCCTTCCTTCCCGAATCTGGGTCTGCCCAGTGCCAACTACAGCCATAAACATTAGTTTGAGAATGAACTTCTTTGATTGTGCTGATCTGTATATTGGTTCTGTTTCAGATGGTCGAGTATGGAATCTTGCTGTCTCTTTGGATAGTTGAAAGGGGATGTTTGGCAACTTCTGAATAGGTAAGTGCTGAAGCAGTATGAGATCTGAACCATTAAGTGCTGAACCAGTAAGAGGTCTGAACCATTAAGAGCTAGTATATTGCTTAATTATTCAGAGGCAAATGTCTGAACAATTCAGATAAGAGGTCTTAACCATTCAGACTTTGTATAATATTTAACCATTCAGAGGCAAATGTTTGAACCATTCAGACATCTGCTCACGAAACAAATAGTTTAAATCATTAAGTGCTGAGCTATTCAGACATCTGATACATTAAGAGGCTAAAACAAACATCCCCTAATTCTTAAATAAATTGTATTGAAAATAATTTTAGTCAAACATCTTAAGCTGAGACAGTCGATTTAAATTGGGACGGAGAAGTAGAATATAAAATAAAAATTTAGGATAAATATCACATTAAGAACCAGATTTGCCTTCAATATTTATAATTTTATACACTATCTATATCTAAAATTACAGTTTTAAAATGCAGTGCTGCTGTTGTATTATCTCCGGCGTAATATAGTATCATGCTCTAAAGGCTACAGTTTCAACTACTCTAATGCTTCGACTTTTTTGCTGTCGCCGGCGGCGGCGCCGCGACCTTCCCCAACTTGATCGGCATATCCATCTCGTGGCGATGGCATGACGTCAACCGATCTCGCCTCCGACTCCTGCCTGTATTTCCTCTATCCTCCTAATAGCTTCTCCCAGATCCAGTCGCCGATCTGGATTACTCTCCGCGCACTCCGCGCCGACGTGGAGAAGCTGTCGCATCTGATCCGACGAGTCCGCCGCAATCTCCGGATCCAACACCTCGGCCTCCCTTCCCTCGGCAATCGCCGATTTCACCCACTGCACCACATCAGTCCCGCCGTTGCCGTTGTTCAGGTACTCCGACGGGAATTTCCCGGTGACGACTTCGAGAATGACTACTCCGAGGCAATAGACGTCGGATCTGGGAGACACCTGATTGTACTGCAGGGCCTCCGGCGATCGGAAGGCCATGAGAGATTCGGCGGCGTGGTCGGTGCTTATCAGGGAAGCGTAGCCGTAATCGGAGAGGCATGGCCGGAGATCTTCGGTCAGGAGAATATTGCTGGACTGGAGATCCCCGTGGGGTACTTGGGAAGATGATAGCTCATGATGAAGAAACCCTAATCCTTGCGCAATTCCTGATACGATGTTTAGTCGATTTGGCCAATTCAGCTCTGAATGGGTAACACCTCGATCGCCTGAGGAATAGATAAAATCAATTTAAGTTGCCGCCAAACTTCAAATTAACATTTGATTGAAGGCATTTGAATGGGATGGGAAAACAAATTTTTTGTTTAGTGATATAAGAAGAGAAAAAAGTGAAATTTGTACAAAATAAGACTAAAATATAAGTCATTTCTCAATGTATGACTTAAACTTTTCTACTCTCTAAATATGATTAAATAATGTCTAGTGGAAGGAATAATATCTAGCGATGTTGAAAATTTACTGGAATAATGACTAATAAATAATGACCAATAGTCCCACATTAAGAAACAAAAACATATAGTCCTATATTGAAAAAGTCATTACGGAGTATTTTGTTAGCCCTATTGAGGTAAATTCCTAGAAAAATTTGCACTAAATAAGACTAAAACATAAGTCATTTTCCAATATAGGACTTAAAGTTTCTATTTTCTAAATTTGACTTAATAATGTCTAAGGGAAGAAATAATATACTGTGATGGAGGACATTTACTTGAATAATCACTAATTAATAATGACCAATGATCCTATATTAGGAAATAAAAATATATGGTACTATATTGAGAAAGTCATTAAGTTTTAGTTCTATTTAGATAAATTATTATGGTAGAAAATAAAAAAGAGAATACAAAATGTACTTAAATTTTTTCAAATTTCTTGAACCAAACATCGTGTCAGAGATTGCTTGGCCGTAGCAATAGAGACATAAAGTTTTGTAACATTTGTATTAACTAGTATTTTTAAATAATGTAAATTTAAATTTTGTTACAAGTATTAGCTAGTGAAAATCATAAAGTTAAATGTTTAAGTTGTTGCTAAAAAAGAACTAATGGTCACAAATTTCGTAGAGAGGAATTTTGGAAGTCTCTTGTCAATTTTTTTCTTGATCATTATAAGACATGTTTAGGAATAGCGTTAGAGATTTGTGTTAGCGTTTTGAAAAGGTTATCTACGAGCAGCATTTAGCATTTTCAAAATAATCTATACCGCTAAAATTTTATTCAAAACGCTAACGCTAATCTTTAACGATATTTCCAAGCATGCCCATATAATCCGTAAATAACGAGTGCAGAATATATAATAAATTGAATTGAAAAATAAATTCAATATGTTCATGTAGCTAGCATAGTTTGAAAATATACGAGAGTATGACATTAGAGATCGTCATTCATAAGGAGCAAACATGAAATTATTGACTTTATTTGTTTCTAAATAAACTTTAATTTCACTATTTACATTCAAACTATTTTTTCATTCTTTACTTATTTACGATAGTATTTTGTTATATGAATAATAAAATAGTCTTATTATTATTTGTTTTGTGTAATTTTTTTAGTTTTTAAATATATAAATTTTTAATCTAAAATAATATTTAAATAATTATATTCAAAATAATTTCTATCAAACATATTACTGAATAAATAAATTATTTAGAGAGGGATAATGTTTTCTTTTCCGTGGGTAAACGTATTGGCTTAAAGCCAATTTGGCAGTGGTCATTAAATTTAGTGTTTTGAAAAGAATAATCTTACAACATTTATCTTGAGCATTTATAAAGTCAATATACATCATTAAAAATTTATAATTTTATTCAAAATACGGACACTAATAAAAAATATTATTTCCATATAAGCCTTACTTCTAACATGTAGAAAAAATATTAACTCCAGTTTTGGTTTTTTATGCTCAAAATTATTAATAAATTTTGATTTTAACATGTAGAATACTAATCCAGTTTAATACTCCATATCAACTCATGTGAGAAATACTAACTTGTAGAATACTTATTCAGTTTTGATCTTTGTAAAATCAAAACTAATAAATTTTGAACATAAATTAAATAGAACTTATAATAAATATTAATAAAAGTAATTCTATTAGATTTATTTTGAAAAATGTTTTTAAAATATTATTTTATCTCATTAATGTACCATGTAATTTTTAGTTTATCATTGGTTAAAGATTAATTATATCATTAACTTTAAAAAATCAAAATTAGACAAAATAATCCCAAACTCACAATTTTTTTTAAAAAAAAAAAAGCAAGAAGAAATGTGTTTACCATGGAGTGCATAGAGCAAGCTCCCTTTGGGCATGAATGGATACACCAAAAGCTTCTCTTCTTTGCGATAATAATAAGCCAAAGGGGTTATGATGTTTTTGTGCCTTAACCCGCCAAGCCGCCGAAGCTCCCCGTCGAACTCTTCAATCCCCACTCCGTTCATTTCCTTCACTCTCTTCACCACCACCGCCGTCCCGTTCTTCATCGTCGCCTTGTACGAAGACCCCGTCGTCCCATTCCCGACCACCACCTCCGCCGCCGCCGTCATCAGATCCGGCAACCCGAACTCGCCTTTCTCCTCGTTCACCATCACCAGCTCCCCCATCCCCGACCCTCTGCCGCTGCGCGACCCTGTTCGGCCCGAGCTGCCGCTTCTCCTGCTGCTTTGCTCGCCGCCGGCCACCGACGGGTCCTCCGGCTGCAGCATCATGGTTTCGAACCTCTCCTGCCTCCGTTTCAAGACCGCTATTCCTATCAGCATCAGGAGGAGTATGACGCCGGACGCTGCCATTATTCCGATAGACACGTGTCTTGCCCTACTGTCATCTCCGACCGCCGCCGCCGCCGTGGTTCCGTTCGTCGAGACCTTGCTGTTTCTTGACCCACCCCCGCTTCCGTCCGAAACCGTGGTTCCGTTCGCCGAGATTGTGTTGTTCCTTGATTCTCCCTCCGTGTCGTCGGCGGCTCTGCTATTCAAAACCATTTCCTGGCAAGGCTTGCCTAAAATTTGGATGCTACAAAGTCCGGGGTTCCCTTTGAATGAAGAATCGTTGAATTTCGATGATAAGCTGGCCGGAATTTCTCCTCGGAGATTGTTGTTGGAGAGGTCTAACGATGCCAGCGTCCTCTGTTTGAACTCCGGTATCTCGCCGGAAAATCGGTTGTTCTCCAGGTGGATTTCCAGAATCCGAGGTAACCCGGCGAGGGAAGAAGGGATTGGGCCGGTGAATTTGTTGTCCGAGAGCCACACTTTCTTCAGGGACCCCATGTTGGCGAAGAAATCGGAGGGGATTTCGCCGGAAAACTGGTTCCTAGAGATGTAGAGGGCCTTGAGAGCGCCGATCTGGTTGAACTCCGGGATGGGTCCGGCGAAAGAATTGTGGATCAGATACAGAGTCCTGAGGCCGGGAATTTGGGACAGAGCTCCGACGTCAATTTTCCCGGACAGACCCATTCCGCCGAGACGGAGGCCGGCGACTATGTTGTTTATGCAAATCACGCCGGCCCATTGCCGCCTCACGTCGCAGGGGTTCGTTCCGGCCTTCCAAGAAGACAGGGAAGCCGTGTTTTTTAGCGATTTCTTCAATTTCAACAGCGGCTCCGCGTCGGAAAAGGATTTCGCCGGCATTGGCACATTGATCAAGAAAACGCAGACGAGGAATACCAGCGTTGTGGTCGCGAAAGACATTGATTTTTCATTGGGGAATGCTTTGGAAACGACGACGAGGACGGCGATTATAGGATCCGTTTTTCAATTGTTTTTATTAAATTTTTATTTTGGGTTTCATTTTGTTTTTTCTTGGGAGAATGATGAAATGGAGGCTTGGAGGACTGTACCGGAACAAAGCTGAGAATGAGGAAGCCCATACATTTAAATTGTGAAGAATTTATCTCTAAACCTTTCTCGCTTATGTTTTTAGCCCAAATAGCTCCGGTACCCCTGTGTTTTGAAAAATTAGCATCAATATCTTCTCTGTTTTTAAAACTTATTTCTAAAGTTCTAACCATTTTCCGGCGAATAGGGGCATTGGCGCATAATTTTTAAACCATAGGGGGCATTCGTGCTCATTTCTTATTTTCGTTTATTATTCTTCCTTTTTTAAATATTTTCTATTTCTTTTTCTTTTTCCTAGATTTTTTAAAATATATTTTCAATTTTTTATAATGTTTCAAAAATGAAAAAAAAAAAAACATATATTACATCTGATGGGAAATAATACGTGGCTCGGCCCACATTTCCCAATTATTTACGAAGAACAGTTAAACCAGGCCTGTTTAATAAAATAGAGGAATAAGAGAATATTCATCCGTAGATGCTCTCACCCTCTCCTATAAAAGGGAGGGTTGCCCTAATTATTGAGGAGGCCAATTTCACTCTTCTCCTGCTACTTTCTCTCTCTCTAGGTATTTTTAGAGTATATTTTTCCTTCTTCAAGAGCTTCTAGCTCCACCATTAATGGCTTCCAAGCCGAACTCTTGTACCGTGTACACACCCCCGATATTAATAAAAATCCCCCGTTGGCAAGGTACCGCCAAAAAAGGCCCGTGGTTTTCTCCCGATTTGGGTTTCCACGTCAAAATCTCCGTGTTTATATTTTGGTGTATTTTTAGACTAGTTTATCGTTTTAGCTGGGCTAAAAACGGTATACCGGTCGATAATTTACACCATCAACATCTATCTCAAATCAAACATTTTCACTCTTTGTTATTTAGAATAATATTTTGGAAAGTTCAAAAAAACAAAGAATAAAAAAATAAAATATTGAAAAACGAAATGAAAAAAATATATTAAAATACGCAAAAAAGTCTTATACAAAAAAATTGGACATGCCTAAAAAAGTCCATAGAATTAAAATGTCCAAAAAGGATATTCATTTTTATTTTTATATTAATTTGTTTCTTATTTTATTCCTCATTTTTTGAAGTTCTTAAAAAAATTATTTTTTCATAAAAAACAAAAATTGTTAATTTGAGAAGTACATATGCATTATATGTTATTTTTTCAAACAAAAATAACTTTAAATTTTAAGAACATTATAAAAATAATTTTTTTAAAAAAACCTTTATTAATAAATGAAACAAAAAAAGGAAAAAATGGAAAAAACAAAAAATATGCAAGAAATAAAAATCAGCATTGATACCCCCTATGGTTTAAAAAATATGCACCAATGCCCCCCTTCTTCGCCGGAAACATGGCCAAAAAATGATCAGAGGGGGCACGAGTGCAACATTTTGAAACCATATGGACTTTAGAAATGAGTTTTAAAAACAGAGGAGGTATTGGTACTTATTTTGCAAACCACGAGAGGTATCAGCAATATTTGGCCTATGTTTTTATTTAAGTAGTGATCACTATCCATTATTGATTATTCAAGTCAAATGTTTATTATCATTGGATATTATTTTTTTCATTACACATTATTATGTATTATAAGGAATATATAAATTTGAATCTTAATTCTCTGAGTCTTAACATGATCTAGTGAAAGAAATAAGAAAGAATATTGTGTGTTGGATTAAGCGGTGGATATCAATATTAGGGGGTAAATTTCACTAGTGTTACCTGACCTTTAGCTGGAATTTCGAAGTGGTACCTAAATCTCAAATCCTTTCAGAAAAATCCCTGAACTTACACAATCCTTTCACTAAAAGTTCATTTGCCCGTTTCTAAGTTAACTTCTGGTTATTTGGGCCAAATTAGAATTTTATATATTTTAAAATTTTCAATTTGACCCCATTTCTTTTTTTTTCTTCCGCTCCCGCCGTCGTCGCACCACGTCAAATTTGCCGGAAAATCAACCTGATCAGATTCCGGCGGGACCAACGCCGTTCTCTTCGTCTTGAGATGAGATCAAGAATATCAAAATCATTTTGTCCAATTTGGCCTGCAACTCCTCGAATTTGAATTTTCCCACTCGAAAAAACTCTAAAATCTGAAATTGAGAATTTTTGCAAATCGCTATCAAATCTTGCAATTGAGGGGTCCTACGGGTCGCATCCCTCAATCATCACCCTCCACGACCGCAATCCTTCTTTTCTAAGGTTATTGCCCTCCGTGACATCCATCCTCCATCTCTAGGGTTTTTTTTACTAAAATAATTTTTCAGGTTCTCCCAAACACCAAAAAATGGAACTAAAATAATTTTTCAGGTTCTCCCAAACACCAAAAAATGGAAATTGACTTTTGTAAAACCGCCTCATATTCCAGAAATCATTGTACTCATTTTCTCCATTTCCGAACAGATCTTAGTTACTTTTGATAGTTGTTTCCTGAGATTACAATTATTAAAGTGTGGTGGGTTGAATAGAAAATAGAGGAATTTACTTAAATAGCACTAAAACATAATGACTTTCTTTAAATAGCACTATATATATTTTTTTCCCAATGTAGCACTTTTAGTCATTATGCTTTAGGCATTATTCAAGTAAATATTCACCATCACAGGACATTATAGACATTATTAAGTGCTATTTAGGGAATAAAACAATTTATGTGCTATTTAGAAAAATGACTTAAGTTTTAGTGCTATTTAGTGCAAATATTTCTAGAGAATATACTCCGTAAGAGCACTGCAAATGGTCTTAAAGCCCGGGGCTTCAAACTTCTCCTCTCTGTCACATCAGCTTTAACTTACCCCACCAATTCACTAGAAATGGGTTTGAACTAGGACTTCAAACTTTCATTTTTACATTTTAAATACACATCTTCTAAAATTAAATTAAAAAAATTTAATTATTTAATTTTATACATTAAAAAATTACATTCATGAACAATAAATACATTCATTAATTTTAAAAAATTACATTCGTTCATTAACAAAAATTACATCCATTAATTAGAAAAAATATGTTCCTTAAATAGAAAAATTACATTCATTAATAAAAAAAGTTATATTCATTGAATGAAAAAAAAGTACACGGTGCGATAACGGGAAAGGGTGGCAGGGGGGCTCCAACGGCCAAATTTTGGCCTACAATTTGCGTCAAAAGATTGACGCTGCAAAAATAACGTTGCTATAACGAAAAAAGGGGACGGTGTTTAACGCCCCCACGCGTCAAAATGAGAATAATGCCACTGGGTGTTAGTGGTATTACCACTGCCCTAATGCGGAAGTTGTATAGAAGGGTAAAAGAAACTTTTTAAAACCTTAATCATGTTAAATTTGGAAGAGTAGAGAATTCAATCGGATCGTTTTCAGAAATTTTGGGCCAAATGCACTACATTCCTAATGCATAGACGTGGCAATCAAATCAATCGGATCGATTTCAGTTTGAAATCATTCAGTTTGGATATATGTTATAATTTGTTTGGTTTGGATCGAATCGGTTAAATTTTGGTTCGGATTTAATTTTCTTTTATACAATATTCGGTTTCGATTTCGAGTCACTTCAGATTCAGTTCGGATGTCAATAAGTTTGAATCAATTTCGGTTTCAGATACATTCCAGTTCAGATATATTTTGATTGGGATATATTTCGTTTCAGGTATACTTCGGTTTTAAATATATTTGCACATATGTTATTTTTTAATTAAAATTTAATTATTGGTTCATTTTTTGTCATATCGCATTTATGGATATATTGCCAATTCATCACCTCATATTACTTCATACTTCATTCGTCCTAAATATCTTCTATTTTTATCTTTTTAGTCATTTTTTATAAATTTGGATTTGGAATTATGAAAGAAAAGTATATTTAGTTCGAATATAAAATTAATATAATTGGATTACCAATTTATATGCAGTTTAGTTAAAATTTATTAAAATGGAGTGAAATGGATAAAATTTAAGTGAAATTAAATGCGATTCAAAGCACACGTTTGGCCAACCACACAATATTGGATGGGAGAGGGTGAAAAATCATTTTTTAGCTTATATAAATTCTAACTAACATTTTTTATGAAAGTTGTAATGTACATTTTTATACCAACTTATAAAAAAGTAAATTTAAAGCATATAAAATTTTACATTTTGTTTAAATATGGTAATTCATTTTGTACATAGGAAGTACGTGATACTTCGTATAAGTAGTTCAAATGATAAAATACAAATTTAAAATCACAATAATGTAATTGTTCACTAATGTACATAAATATAATATGTTTATTGTCAGGAAAAATCATTTTCGAATAGCCGGTTTTTATCTTATCAGTTTCGAGTCTTATCGGTTTCGAATCTAATCGGTTTCAGATATATTTCAGTTTCAGATATAACCGGTTTCAGATCTAATCGATCGGATCTAATCAATCATGGATATATTTAATTTGGTTCGGATCTTTTCAGTTGTTCGGTTATAAACTAGATCATTACTTTTCTGATCACTTCGATTTCAATTTCGAATCATTCAGTACGGGTAATCGATTCTCGATCTATTCCAGGTCTACTAATGCACGCCATCGGGAAATCTTGACATTTTTGACTTGCCCTAATGTATGACTTTATTTTTTTGCAAATTCCTTCCTCAGTCACCCAACTTTGATTAACACAGAAACTAAATTTCCAATATCTAATTGGAGAGGAATACCCATTGATGGGGAATAACCCCACGCCAGCACTAGGGCTGACATCGGGCTTGGACGTTCCTGCTCGGCCCAGAGCTCCGCTCGTCTTCCTGCCCGGCCCAGAGCTCCACTCGTCCTGCTGCCCAGCTCTGCGCTCCGCTCGTCCCTCCTGCTCGGCTCAGAGCTCCACTCGTCCTGCTGCCCGGCTCTGCGCTCCGCTCGTCCCTCCTGCTCGGCTCGGCCAGCCAAGCCGAGCCCGAACCCCGCGACAACGACGTGCGGAAAGCGACGTTCAACAAAGACTTGGTGAAAGCGATAGGATGAAAGCGACAAGACCTAAGGACAGGTGACGTCCGCTAAACGACGAGCCTCGATCAGAGGGCTTTGACTTAGTGAATTGTACCGCCTATAAAAAGGGTGGCACCCCTCATTGTAATGGATCCCAGTTTGAAATCAATATACTCCTACTTTGCATTCTCTCTCTCTAAAACTTCTATTATTTCATACTCTCGGTGGTTTATAGCCATCACCCATCATCTGCAATCCTTAACAAACATAAAACATAATATTATATACTCTCTCCGTCCATGTATGATGTTCCTATTACACGTTACGAGGCTTGACCGACTTTATTTTTAATTAAATTTAATTCATTATAAGAGTAAAATTTTAAAATAAAATTTATATAGTAATAAACTATATGAAAAGTTCTACAAAAGTAGAGGTGACAAGACTATATTATTTTATGAAATGACTAGTAAAATTGAGCAAACAAAGTGAGTAAAATTTGACCCTGTGAATAGTGTCTGGATAGATATATGGTGGACAGAAGGAGTATCAAATTCAAATGAAAATTGAATGAGCCAACCAAATTCAAACACAGTGCAGGCTAATTTTTTACTGCTTCGAAATATTTGCTAGAAAAACAGACAGACTAGCTTTTTTTTTAAAAAAGAGCATGCTATTAAGATTTGCTGTTACTAAAAACAGAGATGCTCACCCTTAGCTCTTCATAGACAATCTCAACATAAAGGCACAATTAACAAGAGTAGACATCCAGTGCTAGTAACTCTTCTAAAACTGTTAACTCGTCCAACCATAGGGTCTGGGGAGTCTTTTCTTCCAATTCAACCACTTCTCTAGAGAGTCTATCTCTCTGCTGCATCAAATTCTCAACACGCTTGTTCGTGAGATTTTATAGATCCGGCTTTACATAGTCAAGTACCGAGAGCACATAGTCATATCCCAAACTCGTAGATTCATCCCGATAGTAATCCTTTCGTTTCAACTCCCGGAACAAATTATCTTCACTTATGTTCTTGATGCGAATTTCTTTCTTCGATACATCGTCTATGAATCGAACCTTTGCATTCAACAAAGCCACTTCCTTTTGAAGATTATCCAACTTTTTCTCACGCCTTCTTCGATAATATTCGAGTCTAAGACGAAAATGAGCAATTAGAACTGAAACAAAAAAATAAGAAAAAAATAGGTGAGTTATGAGTTAACATGTATGCAACAAAATAATGAAAAGCTACGATATCATATAATACTCTCTTCTGGCGTTTGGTATTGCCTCAACGAGCCCATCTCGTCAAATAGAAACATCTCATTTGTTTTTATAAGCGAGGTGAGCTTAAACATCTTTTCGAGTTGGGGGATTGTCTTATCATTCTCCTTGGCTAATAAAATTTGGAGTTTCACGTTATTGTACCCACTCTGGTCCAAATATTCCTGCAAAAATATCACTTCTTATCTCTATGGAAATAACAATAATAACATTTGTACAATTATCAAGCTATTGTCTCAAAGAGAATAAGCATACCTTTATAAAGCCTTTATCTAAGAGAGGATTAAGTGTTTTTTTATATTGCTCAGTTTTTATTCCGATAGGAAGCTCGATGATCAATATCTTAGTCGAAGAAAAGAACCACCAATGTCCCATAAGAAGTAAAGATTCTATGTTTGTCATTTTCTACTCCGGATGGCTCTATTCTTCCTTGAAACCCTTTATACCAAGGAATTGTGTTTCACACATTTTGGCCGGAATTATTAAAGATTAAACCTCCTTTTATGTCCCAGCTCATCACTCCTATTATCAAGGTAACTACTTTGATTCAATCATCATTATTGTTTATTAGATGAAATGTTTCTTCATCTGATTTTATCACTTATCTTTGCAACTGCAGGTTACTGATAGAACCAAAAAAAATCTGCCCAAAAGCTTTTTCACCATTCACAAATTTGAAAAATGGATGAAGGGTAATCCTACCGCTAGTGAATGGAAAGTTAAGTATTTCAAGGTATAATATCTTTGACAACATTCCTTAACAATATTTTTTATTAATAGTCCTTAATATGTTATTATTGTTGATATCCTAATATATTATTTTTTTGTTTGTTTGTTATTCTTGTACTTTAG